ATTCTGGGTCGGAAAGATGGGCCGATGTATACACTTGCGCGTTTTCAATGGGTTATAAACATACGAAAAGAAATTCTATTCAGCCACACCTGCGACACTTACCCTTGACTACCGTTGTCGATATTATCAGTCGAATAGTCGAATAAGACCAAACTAGCCTCCTCAAAAGGTTCTAGTGAGTAATTAGCGAATAGGATTGCAGGCAACGAACCAAGCTATTCACCTAAAACCTTGGCTCTGTCCATACTCGCCAATAAATGCCACCAAATGAGTTGAAAAACGAAAGAGGTCCGAGGGGGAATGCACCGGATGTCTCCACGCGACAGAACGACTCAATTTCTAGCTCTGTCTCTTTTTCCGATCTCGTCCTTCCGCGTTGTATACGCCGGCTCCCATTTATCGACATTCAGGTTAAGAAAGGCTACGCCAACCTCCTCAGAAGCGCCTGGCGAACGAAAAAGTAAATAATGATTTGTTCCTGAGTTGAAGCTATGGTAGTTCACCTGAGACCTTGGCTCTCTCCATACTCAGCATGAATTGCTGTCGCATATCCCTGAAGGCCTGAAGTACCGCCAATGAGTAGAAGGACAAAAGAGGCTTGAAGAGGAATGCATCGGACGTCTTCATATGACAGAACAATTCGATTTCTGGGTCTCTTCCCGATCTCTCTTCTTTCACGTTAAATAGCTTTTTTGTAACTTGTTGCCCGGGATAAAGATGCTAACTCGAATGTGGACAAAACCGCAGTCAGCTGCCTCTTGAAAGCACATAGACCAGCCTCCAGGTCCTGGTAGCCACAGACGTTTCAACGGGTCAATGCATGTACGCCAGGGATCCGCCCAGGTCCCTGAGATTCAAATTCCGTCGACTTTCATGGCGCAATCTGCAATGTATGACATGTAAACCCTCAGCTATGTCCCAACGCGAATCACGATAATACTCACCAAAACCATTCGACTAGCACAGCTCTTTCTTTGTCCTACACCACTAAAGATCTACGAGCTGCGCAATACCAGAGTCTGTCACGCTTTCTGTTCTATTGCCCACCAGACCCAGAGTCCTTGGACATAAACTTGAATCAGAAGTGGTAATGCGCCTTAATGCGCTATCAGAACTTGGATACCGGTTTGAGTGGTGACAGGGAATGTATTTATCAAGTCCCAACGCTCACCTCTCCTCGTACCAGAAATAGACCATCATGAAGCTTGAGATTGGAGAGTTCGTTGCTGCCTGTAGTTCGGGCTCGCGAATCACGATGCTAGAATCTGGTGAAGAAGGGTTCCGGGTTCCGGGCCGCACGTCGTCGCATTCAAGGCCCGCCGCCCAGGCTTTCTCCGATACAACCACCGGCCGTAAACACCCCACGATACTTTCTCGAACGACGAATGCGTCTGAATCTGTTGTATCTGTCGAAGAATATTGGAGGGCTGGCCTCTCAGAAATTGTTGTTCCCAGTCGCGACGCGTCGAGCGAGAGATTCCTCGAGTCTCGACTCGTTTGTCGTGTAAGTACCAAAACAGAATCCTAATTCCACCTCGAAGTAAAAGAGTCTGTGCTGCTCAAGACGACACTCGCCAGTCCTGGGTGGGGGTATTTCAAATTTCAAGTTCAAGTTCTACTGATATCGTCGTCCCTTGATCCGAGGGATTTACTCTTGAAGATGACATGGGAAAACTTCAATACAACCTTACCGGTGCCGTCGTCCGTGGGTTCTTACGGTCTACATACTCATCCTGTGGCCTGAGTACCCACAACGTCAGATCACCGCACCATAACTCTCCTCATCGAAGCGATTTCACCAAAAAGACGCTCGAACTCCACTTTCCAAGTTTCCATTGAAACGCGAAACGGGAGTTGAGACAGACAGCCATCAAACAAAAGATACCATCCAGGGATCCCATATGCACAATCACACACCGGACATCCCTGGCCGACACACGCACAAAGAGACCAATAAGACAATTCATTTGGATTGACTGAATTGTAGTAGGGTATAGGTAGTTGGGTAGATGTCATCAGATGAAAAGAAAGATCGAATAAGTAACAGAAAGAGATGAGAGAGTAGACGAGACGAGAAGAAACGACAGATCAAGGGGATCAAGCACTAGGCTAAGTAATCATCAAGACACACGCAGAAGGCAAGGTAAGAAAGCGTAGCTTAAACACCAAGAAAAAGAAATGGATGAGGAGGAACCGTAGTCATCAAACCCACCAGCGGCCCTCCCAAAAGATGCGAGAGCGCTTAGTGGCGACGCTTAGACTCCAAATGCCTCTTGACGACACTCCTTCCCTTGATTCCAACGCTGCGACGACGACGGCAGTGAGCAGTGGTTCCGTTACCGTTACCACCGTTGCTGCCCTGGTTCTGCTCGCCACCGTTGTTGTTGGAGTTGTTGGAGTTGTCGCCAGAGCTGGAACCACCTTGGAGGTTCTGTCCCTCCTGTCCCTGGTTCTGGTTCTGCTCACCGCCGTTGTTGTTGTTCTGGTCGTTGTGGTTGTCGTTACTGCCCTGGTAGCTTCCACCACCGTTGTTGTTGTTGTCGGTGTTACCGCCCTGGTTGTTGTTGTTGTCGCCGCCCTGGTTCTGGTTGCCGCCGTTGTTGTTGTTGTTGTTCTGGTCGTTACTGCCCTGGTTCTGGTTCCCGCCGTTGTTGTTGTTGTCGGTGTTGCCACCTTGGTTACCGCTGTTACCAGCAGGAGGCTGCGAAGAACCAGAAGCACCGTTCCACATACCGGGACCGACTTCGGGGAAGGAGGCAGGGCTGGTGAAGACGCTGTAGTGGGCGAGGTCGCCGTCGGTGGCGTAGAGCCTGCAAAAAGGAGACAGGGGCGATCAGTAAGAAGAAAGGGGAGGCAGGGATAGGAGAGAAACTTACGATCCGGCCTTGGTACCGTAGGGTAGCTCGGTGTCACCACCGTTGACGACCTCGACTTGCAAGCAACCAACGTAGTTCTGGGGACCGGTACCGTAGTTTCCGTTCCATGGGTTGTGGACGGCAGCGAGCTACGTAGTAGAGGTAGTCAGTACATACAGGAAATAGAGAGGAAAATCGTAGAGGGCTTACCTCACTCCTCAGCATGTACTGGCCCTTCTTCAGTTCGCTGGGAATCTTGGAAGTGTAGGAACTTCCATTCTCAATCATACTCGCCAACGCCCATAGTCCGTCACTCCTATACGGCTCAGGCTTCTTTTCCATAGAACTCCTGAGGTGGTCTATGATGTTACCTGGGTTCAACCCCGCGAAATCAATCTTCTGCCATCCGATCTGGCTCGCATCGACAGACTTGCAATCCCCATTGCACGAACCGATGTAAGTGATGATCGGGCCCATAGCGTGGACAAAAGTTCCAGTAGGCCAGCCATCGTTCTCCAACTCGTGAGTCGCACCTTCCCACTGCCACTTGACCTCGTCACCAGCATTGACCTGAGCGACTGCAGGTGCAGCACCAGCTTCTTGACATGCCATCTTGTTGTCGTTGTTGAAGTCGTTGGGGAGAAGGTAAGAAGGGAAGTCGGCCTTGTAGCCTTTACGGATGGGGGTGTTGCCGTTGCGACCGTCACCGTCATAGTAGAGGTTGGGTGCGTCGTACCATTTTCCGGCGATGGTGACACCCCTGAGCTGACCGTGGGCCTCGACGAAGGGTGTGAAGGGGAGAAGAGTGAGGACGGTGAAGAGAGTTTGGAATTTAGTGCTGAACATGGTCCTTCCGAGATGAGAAATGTAGAAAGGAGAGTGTTTTCTTCTAAAAGATAGTGGTGGAAGGAATAGGAACAACGAGGGGAGGGAGAGGCGGGGAGGAGAAGAAAAGTGTCGACGGTGACTGAGTTGATAAGGGAAGAAAAACAAGTGCTGGTTCGAATTACCCTGTTATTATAACCCGGAAAAGAAACTGTCCACGATCAAAAATTACGTGATCGGCAGCATGCGGCAGTTTCCAACTGAATTCTTTTATTTATTTATTTTCACTCGCGCTCGCGAAATAACCGCTCATAAATCATAATCGACTCTGGACTTGAACAACCTTTCAACGTTCCAGGTACCGTTTACTCAAGCCTCCTCACCTCGCTCGGGGCCCCTTCATGTCTTCACCGCCCATAGCCCAGAATGTCCAACAAGCCTGAGGTTGCTAGGGTACCGACATACATAACATAGCAAATATTCATAATTCATTCCTGCACCCTCCCGTTCCTGGACGACATGGTCATCAAACAAGCGAGCCACGATCATGACATTGACGAGACGACGGGGGTCGCATCCTATCATGATCAAGTCCAGGCTGTGATTCCTTTCCGAGGCTTCAAAGCGTAAAGCACGGGTGTCCATCAGCCAATTATCCCCTTCACAGATGTGAACAAGGAGGAAAGACGCGCCGCTCGCTGTCGCTGTCAACGGAGTACAGTTTACCGACTCCTTACTCGGGCTGCGTGTCCCTACCGACGACAGGGCGACTAGGCGACAGGGGTCCTAATAATCGACCCTGTCTTCGTGTGTGATTTTCGAGGGCAATGAGGACAAGTTACGGTAACGGCCAAGTACGGCGACCTGAGCGCTTGCGCCTTGGTCCCTCCAATAATTGATTCTCGAGAGCTTCCCCGTCATGAATCCGAGCTTCGTGAATCGTCTGCCAGCCGAGGCAAGTACAAGCCCCACCGAACAAATTGACTCGGAGGATTCTTGAAACTTCCGCCACACCTCTTAGGCTAGAGCTCCAATCAACGTTACACTATTTTACTCATGGATGACGAGCATACCTCATATGTACGCTCCAACAAGTACATATTGATTTTGATCAACAGCATCTATTTTTGAATCCTTGCGTGTCGCGCGACCCCGAGAGCCCGTTGCTCGGACAGAGGTTTGTTGGCTTCTCTCCCGAGTATGAATGATTGAATGCATGCATACCTCACAGTCTCTGCAGCAAGTTAAGAGGCTATCGAGGAGAAGGAAACAGAGGGGAAAAAGGAAACAAACATAAAACACTGTGGTCTGGAGTCTAACTGACCACCGCAGGGGTCGAACCTGCAATCTCCTGATCTCGACGTGAATATCGTAGTCAGACGCGATGCCATTTCGCCAGGCGGCCATTTCTCAACGTGGTTAGAAATGGCGTCAGATGTTGGTGTTTGCAAATGCGAGAGAGAGAGGACAAAGATGGAATCGGCGAGTAATACATACCGACATGCTTCAAATGGGCAGAGTGAGTAGAGTCGCTTTTACAAGCAGCGCACGGTCACCGGTCGGCAAACTGGGACTCTTCTATGTCGGGAGAGGCGGGCACGATGCCACCGAGTATCGATTGGACTGGGATTTAAGCCGAGGCTCCTTCACCGAGCACTGTGGTGAGCACCCCCGTACTGTGAGAGAAAGAAAGAGATGGAGAAACAGTTGCAGAGAAAATGTACCACACGGGAAGAACTTGGGTCGAGTAGGTGACCAGTGAACTTGTGACAAAACTCGCCGGTACTGAGCACTGGTTTCGTGGCGCTTCGGAACTCGGAACGAGAGGTCTGAGACAGCGTGCTTCAAAGGAGGATAACGGGGTTTAGACTGCAGAAACGTGAGCCTAAAGATGATGTGAGTGGCAAAAGACGCGGGTACTACTGGGAGGCCGATTGATCCCCCGTCCCTCCGAGCTTCAAGCTTCAAGTGTCAAGAAGTTTTCGATTTACGGGTGAGTCGTGACTGAAGTGACGAATCTCCGTCGAATAAGGAGTGACACTTTCGTTTCCCTATCTTTCGAGAAGTTTCGGCATAGGACTAGGTGCGAGGGAGAGCTCCAACGGTGAGAAAACGTCAAAACTCGTTCAAGGAGGATGGAGGGAGCCTCTTCGCTTTGAAATACAATGAGATATATAGACTCGATATGAGAGTGCTGGAACGTACCAGAGACAAGGAGATATGCTCATAGAAATGACCATGTACCAGTTTTGGGCTCGATACTCCCTTGGGATATTGACAATGAGGATGGTGAGGCTGGCCAGAGCTGCCCTGTCAAAAGAAAAGTCGAGCCATGTCCCAATAGCTCGCTATTCAACCGAGCACGGACGCTGAAAGTCATGGTTGTCAGTGTAACGGAGAAAGCTTGGGCGTGTGAAGATTCAAAACTACAGCTCTCCCATGGCCAGTGGGCGGTTCGGATCCGGAACCCGGAGCCCTTGTTCTCTCCAGCATCATGAGGTTTACCGCAACGGCCTACAGGCAACAACGGACTCTGCGACTTCAAGATGGACTTGTTTTGATACGAATGGAGGTAAGCGATGGGCCTACTTCACAAGTATCTTTTCATCAACACTGGTACCCACATACGATGACGGTGATAACGAATGCAACATCACTTCGAGCTCGAGTTCAAGTCCAGCGATCTCAGGACTAGTGGCCAATGGAATATAAAAATTTACAAGCTTCAGGAAACATGTCTATCTATACGAGCGTTCGAACTTGTGGTGTCGGTTCAAAACTCGCGGAAGTCGGGTAGTTTTGGTTTTGGTGAGCACTTGTTTTTATTCGCTGTCCCCTTTAGCATGAGATGAGATATTTGAAGGTTGATTCGATAAGTTGAAGATTGCGCACATAAAGATTCACTTCACTGCCATCAATCAGAACGAAACGTTCAATATCTGGGCGGACCTGATGCGAATCCGCTGAGACTTCCCGACCTGTTCAAATATAATCAATATCTAAGGTTTCGCTCAGCGAGGACTGCGACCTTTTTGGTATCTTTGATCCTTAAGGATACCGCGGCTCTGTTCACATAGGAGCTCTCATCTCAGTTCCGAGCCATGAAAAGCCATCGAATGCCGTGGGTATTTTTCGCTCAAAGAACGTCTACATTCCTCCGCAGACCTGCCTCTTTCGTCTGTTGAACTCATCGGTACCGCTCCGGATATACGCTTCGCATACCCCAACAGCAATATGCCAAATTCTCCTGAACGAGTTGAGGTATGGAAAGAGAGAGAACCGAGGTGGGAATACTTAGCTTCGACTTGCAACCTGGCATTCCCACTCACCCGAAGTTTTCGGAGCAGCTTGGTACTTAACTTCAAGCTATCTCCTCTTCCAATCGAATTTGATCTCTCCGAGGTTTCAATATTGACAATGGTAGTCAAGAAGAGGTCACTTGAAGTGTGAGTTCATTCCGATGGTTATCACTCGCCCGAACGGCGCACATCCGTATCAATGTAGGCCTATCACGTTTTACTGGAGGCTGACTCGAGCTAATTTGCGGCGGGGGGTGTTTGTGTATCCCAGGCACAGGTATCGTCATTGGGATTTGAGTCGGGCATCGGAATGGTTTGATGAAATGTCGCTCCCGCGGCCTCTCTAAGTTCTGCTATCGGACTTTTGGGACTCCAGAACGTCGGAGCAAGCTGCACCAGGCGGACCTTAGCTCGTGCATGTCTTATAGCTCGCAAACACCTTGTGCGGCTCCCCACCGAATTCCAAGAGTTAGAAGATCAAAACACGTCCGGTCCTTAACTGCCCGACAAGATGTATCATGGAGTGCGAGACTCCGCAGGCACTGGTGTCGGTACCACCTCAGTTCCAATTACTTCCGTGTACCATCATCCCGAAACTGAATCATTCAACCCGACCCGATGGGTCTTTCTTAGTTTCTCAATTTCGTGCTATCTGTAGACCTCAGTGTGAGTGTCGCGGATGGGTAGCCTGTCTACAACGATCTCCATAAATTCGTGACTACGACGACAAAGTGAATTGGTGAGTTTAAATTACAAACACCTCCAGATACTTATTTTTACGTGCATTTTTTGACAGAACCCGAGCACGAAAGTAACACGAAGCTGTGAATATGTGGTTACTAGCAGAGTTGGATGGGAAAAGCGATGTAAAGAGGACTCAGTCCAGGATGTACGGCTTCTATCTGTTCGAAAGAATGGAATTCCTTCATTGTTGTACAATCCGGCCTCACAGACCTTCCGACATTTTTGTCTCAGACATGGTGATCTAGGACTCCGCTTTGGTCAGCGACCGTCGCGCCACTGCATCGCTTTGATCGTGGATCTTCGGACCGAAGCTGATGGCGGGAATTGATGCGAACTTGTGCCAAATCTGGAATGGAGGCGGGCGTCCCATGGACACTCTGTGTAGGTATGTACCAGTATTGACTCTGGACCTTTTTACTTTTGATACATCTCGGAAGGTATGGACAGAGTTTCGCAGGCGACCTCAGCTGCAGTCTATCTACTTGGCCGACTAAAAATAGTGGCATGGAACGGGTTTGACGTGGTACAAATCTGAGACTCCGACGGGTTTTTCTGTATCGATGGCTCAGTGAAATGGAGAAATGTGTCGGAATTCAAGGAGCGGGCTGACAGTGTACACAAACAGCAGGAGGCCTCTTGATTCAGGATTGTGTGGTGTACCCATTCCAGAGTGAAGACCATCTTTGGGAGTCCCGACGCTGAGTCCCGCGACGACATATAAAAAGGGAGGTGAATTTTTCTCTTTCTTCAGCAAGCTTTTGCACTCTCGTATCTTTCGGAGCTCTGCCTTCTTACACAATGCGCTCTGTTATACTCTTCTTCCTCGCTCTCATCGCAGTTACCACTGCGAGTGTTCTTCCCGCCATCGTCGAACGCGATGTTCAAGCTGGTCGTGTTCGGATGATGATGTGGTTCAGGAAGAACGCGAACATGACATTCCAGCAGTTCTCCGACCACTGGAGGGTCCCCCACACCGACCTCTTCTTGAACACGGCAGCGGTGAAGAAGAACATGCTCAGGTACGAGCAGGTCAGTGGTTTCGTTTCTGCGTCAATATGAGTGTCCCTCAAACATTTCTCTTCTCCGCAGCTCCACGTAAACCAGGAGTGGAAGGCGAAATTCGCTGCTCAAGGATACAACGTGCCCAACTACGACGGTATCATGATCGCCGAGGCGGCGACAATGGACAAGATCTTGGAGGTTAGTCGGGATAGGCTCGTAGACTTCTTCTTTTTTATCATACTCATCGCCCTGACTTGGACAGTGCTTCTCTAACGACGAGTACAACGACATCGTCCTTCCCGACAGCTTCACATTCTCTGACATGAATTCTGCTGTCTACGGTGCCTTCGATATTGCCAGCACCATCAACAAGGAGCCCAACCCCCCGGCGTACAAAGTCATTCGTACTGATACGAAGCGGGCGGTCGTCGATTTCACTCACAAGAATGGGATGAGCTATACCGACTTCACTACTTACTTCCGCAACACGAACCCGGCCAAGGTTAACACATTCATGAGCTCTACCGGTGTTGGAAAGGATATCACCAAGTACGAACAAGTGAGCTATTTCTGTGTATAGCGATTTCTCCCGAAACTGAAAATGTTTTTCTCGCGTTCAGCTCACTATCAGCTCCACTCAGTCTACGGTCTCCAACCCCTTCACTCCTTTCAGCGGATGGGACGCCGTTGCTCAGGTCGCCGGTCCTAACTTCCAGTACCTCCTCGATGTAAGTCATCGTGAAGGTTTCCATCCGCCACCCACGTACTCACGTTTTTTGTAGACCTCCAAGAACTCCCAATTCGTCACTCTCATGCAGCAAGATGCTCCTAACTTTATCAATACGGCTGCAGGGTTCCAGGTCATCCCCGTTGATGTTGTGTCCTTCCAGATTCCGAAGTAAACGGGCTCGTTTGACCCTACGAGTTGAACCTCTAGCAACTAGACAATCCTTCATCCTTTTGTTCTTTGAATCACTCTTTACATCTGCAATCTTTCGGGTTTTATTGGAAACGTACCATATTCTTTAGGTGCTTCTTGGATTCTACTAATCTACCGGTTTGAATAATTGATGATTATCGAATCTATATGTTGTTGATACAGACTCGAAGCGCTCGAAGATTGGTTGGACCAGGTGAGTGCCTTTCTCGTGAAGCCCCCTGGAGGTTTGAATGAGACCGACCCACTTCACAACGTCAGTCTCATCACGGCATCGATGGTGCCCAGTCTTGGAAGATCACAGCTCCGATTGAGGACTTTGTGGTTTTGTAGAGTTCTCTCAGACTCACAAAAGCGTGAGCATCGTGTAGATTGATTGGCATCGTTGACAAGAGGTATCTCCAGGGCTGCGGAGAGGTTGCG